CTCTCTCTTTCTCTCTCTCTCTCTCTCTCTCTCTTTCTCTCTCTCTCTCTCTCTCTCTCTCCAGGGTCTTGCTAGGCAGCTCAGGCTGGTCTTGAATCCACTATGTAGCCCAGGCTGCCCTTGAACTCATGGTGATCCTCCTGCCTCAGCCGCCCAAGTGCTGGAATTACAGGCATGAGCCACCACAGCTGGTTGACTTAGGGTTTGTACTGTGACATAAAATAAATCAAAAGTAGAGACAAATGAGTGATGAGCTCAGAGCTCGGCCACAAGCCAGCTGATGGGGGGGCACCCTGAGTCAGAGCCCTGGTGAGCATCAGGGACCCGACAAGGTAACCAGGGTTGGGAGGTGACCAGGGGCTGATCTTGCTCATCAGCTCTGGGGTTTAGTTTCCTAGCTGAAAAACAATAATAACAGAGATGGGTGATTCCTGCGGTCACCCTGGTGACCTTTGAAAACTTGGATCTGATAATTCCCCTCCTAGACATAAAAGCTTCTGGTGGCTTCTGCCAGTGCTACTCGTGCCACTAGAGCCGCTCTGAGCTGCCATTGGCTCCTGGGACACAGTGTAGTGAAGGAGAGACTGGGGAACGTAGCAGAGGGACTGGGGAAGGCGACTCCTCCGTCAGCCAAGAGATCCTGCATGGGACCACACATCTGCTCCACTGCCGGCCTTGCTGGAACTCAGGGTCCTGCAGATCTGGATGCAGGGAAGGGCACGGCCCCAATGTCAAACCCCTTGGCTGCCCCCTCCCACTGACGTCATCTCCTGCAGGTCCCTGAAGCTATCCGCAAATGCCAGCGTGCTGGCATCACGGTCCGCATGGTGACCGGAGACAACATCAACACAGCCCGGGCTATTGCAGCCAAGTGTGGCATCATCCAGCCCGGGGAAGACTTCCTGTGCTTGGAGGGGAAGGAGTTCAACCGGAGGATCCGCAACGAGAAAGGAGAGGTAGCCCCACCCCCTCCCCTGCTCCCATCCCCATCCCTGTGCACCCGCCTCGGCTCTGCAGTGTCCCTCTGCCTCCCCAGATAGAACAAGAGCGGCTGGACAAGGTGTGGCCTAAGCTGAGGGTGCTGGCCCGGTCATCTCCCACCGACAAGCACACTCTGGTCAAAGGTAAATGAGCTCACTCACCCTCTTCCCCGTGGGCCTGCAGCAGCAGCTCTGCATGCTATGACAAATGCTCCTGGACACCCTGTACCACACTCCCCAACGGGTCCCCAGGGCCTGCCTAGGAAGCCAGGGTCCTCAGCTCTAGGTCCACTACTTCTAGAAACTGGTGAATAGAAAGTGTCCATGCATGAAGGGCCCATACAAGCTGCTCCCTTGTCAGAAGACAGGGAAACTGAGCCCTAGGAGAGGGAGACATTTGTCCAAGTCACACCGTACCCCTTCTTTCTACCAAATCACACCACCCTGGTTACAGATGGCATCAGCCTTGCCCTGTCCTGTTCTGTGTTCCAGGGATTATTGACAGCACCACAGGTGAGCAGCGGCAGGTGGTGGCAGTGACTGGGGATGGCACTAATGATGGGCCAGCCCTCAAGAAGGCTGACGTAGGCTTTGCCATGGTAAGCCACTGTATCAACCAGCTTTCCCATTGCTGGAACCAAATAGCCGACACCCACAACTTAAAAGAGGAAACGGTTTATTTGGGCTCGTGGTTTCATAGTAGTCAGTGTATGCTTGGCTGCTCCAACAGAGGAAGAGCATGGTGGGAAAGCATGGGGACCAAGACTGACCACCTGAGTGGCAACCGAGAAGCAGAGCAGAGGAGCCATGCCAGAGAGGAAGTGGCCAGACACCACATGTAGTACCCAAAGTCATACCTCCAGGACCCACCCAGACACCCAGAAGGGTGCTTCGCTATTCCCCAATCAAGTTGACCTACCACAATTAATAGTCACAGCCCACCTCTTGTCAAGGTGACAAACCCACATATCTCCTTAAAGACACTTAAGTCTCCAAATAAAGATGATAACAAGCTCTTAATTCCACCTACCATGATACAACTATCCTTCTTACAACTGAAAATGCAATAATCCCTTACTCAAAGTCTGAACAGTCCCAGAAGTTTTCAAAAATTCAGAGATTCCTCTGAGACTAAAAACACTTAGCTGTGAACCTCTTTAAAAATAAAAAACAAGTTATACAGTCCCAAGGTACAATGACACAGAGTAAACTTTCCCATTCTGAAGGAAAGAATAGAGGAATAGAAAAGAATTGGACCAAAGCAAGATCAAAACCCAGTAGGGCACATGCAAGTCCTATAGCTCTGTGCCCAGCACCCAGGGTACACGTCGGTGAAATTAGAGCTCTAGGGGGTTGGGTAGCCCCAACCTACAGCCTTGCTGGTTGTATCTCATATGGCCTCTTTTGGGGCTGGGTCTGATCACTGCCTGTAGAAAGTGTCCATGCATGAAGGGTCCATACAAGCTGCTCCCTTGTCAGCACAGACATGTCTGTTCCTTGGCATGTCCTCCACATTCCCAGGTATCTCCAGCTTCCTGGGGCTTCATTCCCCCAGCTTCATGCACTGACCTTTCAGGGGCTCCTTGCCTGGCCTTCTAGGCCTTCCTTCGAAATCTAAGTGGAAGCCTCCATAACCCCACAATTCTTATATTCTGAATGCTGGTAAAAGCAGCATCACATGGATGACATCACAACCTACTGTCAGTGGGAACAGTAGCCAAGCCCCCTTAGACCATGTCTGCAGCAGCCTCTAAGTACATATCTGGCTAAGCACAGTGAAATGAATCCAAGGGAGCCAATTCTCTTGAAGGCCCTTCTTGAGCAGGGGTCGCAGGGACTCTCTTTTCAGATGAAAAATTGACACTGTTGCATCCTTGAGCCTGGGTGAGGTCTTGCTGATTTCTGAGGTATCCTCAAGGCATCTTTCTTCTTGTCCCTGTAGAAAATGCTTAATATCTTTTAAGGGTGCTAATTTCTTTAACAGCCATACCTCCTTTAGCCCCAACTCTACACACAATTCCTTTGGGGCCAAAATTTAAGTTTTTCAGATTTTTCTGCTCTACTTTTTGCCATGATTCTCACTTTAAAAAGGGCTAAAAGCAGCCAGCAATATCCACACCACAGCCTGAATGTTGGGCTGCCTTGAAATTTCCTCCCCCAGACCATTCATTTATTTGTTTGTTTGTTTGTTTTTCTTTTTTCTAGTCCACCACTCTTAAATCTCAGCCTCCCACAAAGTCTTGGGACATGAGAAAAATGTAAACGTTTCTAGTACACAATACCTGACAACTCAACTGAAAGAGAGGCTTAATTTGGCTCCCAGTTTCAGAGGACTTAGCCCATGATCAGCTGGCTCCAAAGCAGATCATGACAGAAGGGTGTGATGGAGCAAAGGTGCTTAGTTTATTATGTCCAAGAAGCAGAGTGGGGGCACTGTGCCAGAAAGGGACAAGGGACTAGATATAGTACCCAAGGTCACACCTTCATGACCCACCCAGACACACCCAGAATTGTGCTTTACTAATCCCCTGGGTATGTCTTAATCCAGTCAATTTGATACATCATGATTAATGGTCATAAGCCACCCTATGCCAAAGACTTGTGGCCCACAGACATTAGATTTATACCCAAAAGTGGGAGTGAGGATAGGTTGCAGAGTGCTGGAAGGTTCTTTCTCTCACATCTTAGCAGTTTGGACCTGAATGGGCTCTGCCCATTAAGGGACATGTGTGTGATTTGCTTAAGGACACCTGATGTGATGACTCCTGAGGTGACAGTGGGGCCAAACTGCGCCATTAGAAGGGAGTAAGGGGCAGCAAAGTAGTCAGTGGTGGCCTCAACCTGCCAGCACCTGCTCCCAGTCCACTCTAAGTGGACTCCTGGCCCAAATGTGATGAACAGAGTCTCCAATGGGTGCATTCCTTGTACTGTGTCCCTGCTGCTCATATAGAGCTAGCTCTTCCCATGAAACCCGGATCCTACCAAGCAGGGCAGCGTGCCAAGGCACTGCCACGTGGCTGGCCCTGGTTCTGCAGGAAGCTGGGCTTGGCGGCAGCTTGGTGAGCCACGTCCCCACCTTGTGGAAGGGACCACCCTTCACTCAGCCCACTTTCAGTGTGGCCCAGCATAGGTCTCATCCAGCTTTCCCATACTCCACAGTGGAGGGGAGACCAAGCCAAGCTTTCCAGTGCCGAGAAAGGGGCCCCATGGCCACTCTGTGTGTTTCTGTGCCACTCCCAGGGCATCGCAGGGACTGACGTGGCCAAGGAGGCCTCTGACATCATCTTGACCGATGACAACTTCACCAGCATTGTCAAGGCAGTCATGTGGGGCCGCAACGTCTACGACAGCATCTCTAAGTTCCTGCAGTTCCAGTTGACGGTCAACGTGGTGGCTGTGATCGTGGCCTTCACAGGCGCCTGCATTACTCAGGTGGGGACCAGGGACTGTCCTTCCCATGAACACTGGGGCTTGGGACATAGTTGCTGTCTGAGGCTTGGGCGGAGGAGCTCAAGCCTGATGGTCAGGTTGAAAGCAAATTTTTTCTTTGCTGTAGGTTGTTTCTTTTGTTTTGTTTGAGAAGGGTCACATTATGTAGTTCAGGCTGTCCTTGAACTCACTATGTAGCCCAGGCTAGCCTCAAATTTGCAGTAGTCCTCCTGCCTCAGCCCGCCAAGTGCTGGGGTGATAGGCTACCCCACCACGCCTGGCTCTTTGCTGCAGATTCTTTTTCTTGAAATCAGATTCACATACTAGAAAAATTGCCGTTGCAGGGTACACAATTTAGCTGGTTTCTAGCATATTCACAGTATTGGGTGGCCATCCCTTCTCTCTAGTTCCAGAACACGTTCATGGAAACCCCGTACCCACTGGCAAGCATACCCTTCCCCGAGCCCCTGCCTCTGCAGAGTTGCTGGTCTGAACATTTTATATGAATGGATTCAAGTAGTTTGGGGCATTTTGTGTGTGTGGCTGAAGAAGAGCCCACGTGGTGCTCGCCATTCCCAGCTTCTGTGCAGGCACATTTGCTCGCTCCTGGTCCAGTGAGACCTGTACTTCACCCTTGGCAGAGCTCCTCCCTTTCCTCGGTGGTCTTGTTCACATCATCTGCCAGAGTCCAGAATTTGTTTGCCCCATGTTGGACAGTCACAATTTCTTTTAAAACTGGAAATCTAATTTACAAGACATAAACTTCACCATAACAGGCATTTGAAAGTGTACAATTTGGTACTTTTTAATATATCCACAATGTTGTATAATCAGGCCCATTAGCAACTCCCAGGACGTTCTCATCACGCAAAAGGAAACTCTGCACCCATTAGCCTTCACCCCTCAGTCTCTTCCCCCCGCCCTTGGATCCCAACTCTGCTCTCTCTATGGACTTGGCAGTTCCAGTAGTCACCCAAGAATGGAGTCATGTGACACATAGCCTCCTGCGTCAGGCTCCCATGAGGCCAAGTTTTACAGAACAATTCAAAGGAGGATAACAAGAAGGTGATCAGCTTTCTTGCCAGTGGGCCACAATACCTGACACCCAGAACTTAAAGGAAGAGAAGTTTAATCTGGCTCAAAGTTTCAGGGAACTTAGTCAAAGGTTGGCTGGTGCCAGTGCAGGAACATTATGGTAGAAGGACGTGGTGGGGCAAAAATGCTCAATTCTTGGAGGCTAGGAAGCAGAACAAGGGAAGAGCACCAGCTAGGAAATGGGCCAGGGCCCAGCTCTAACCCCCAAGTCACACCTCCATGACCCACCCGGACACAACCACAAGTATGCTCCATCAATCCCCCAGGCAGACCTCAAAGCCAGTCGGGCACCTTAACCTCCACAGCAGGTCAGATTCAGAGGCTTGGCCTCTTCCTGTCTCCAGGGAAGCAGGAAGCACAGCCACCACTGTGGCCCCAAAAGGCAGCTCCCAGACATTGGGCCGTTTGACAGGCTGGTGTAACTGGCTGGGGCTTCAGCCTCCTGCTAAGGATTTGGACACCTTCAAGATTACTGCCGGAGGTGGCCAGCAGAGGGATGTGGCCGAAACCTGAAGGCCCATGAAAAAAACCTGCCACCCTCATGGAAACCTGGGCGGGAGATGTCCCATGGCATGAGAATGCAAGTCTTGGATGCTGAGCCCACACTGAGTTCTTCCCTGTGAGGTGGCCGGTGACTGTCCCCTCTCTGCAGGACTCCCCTCTCAAAGCCGTGCAGATGTTGTGGGTGAACCTGATCATGGACACCTTTGCCTCTCTGGCCCTGGCGACAGAGCCCCCCACAGAGTCACTGCTGCTGCGGAAGCCATATGGCCGCGACAAGCCCCTCATCTCACGCACCATGATGAAGAACATCCTGGGCCACGCCGTCTACCAGCTCACCATCATCTTCACGCTGCTCTTTGTCGGTAGGTTGGCCCTGTCGCTGTCCTTGCGGCCTCGGGCCCTGTAGGGCTCACACACGGCATCGGTGTGCCCAGCACACACAGGGAGGGACACAGCACTCATGGGTAGTGACGAGGGGGAGCGGGTGTGTGCCTGTACCTCACGTCGGCCACTGTCGCTGCTGCTGTCGGAAGTCCCCTCAGCCCCTGCGCCCTCCTCCCTCCAGGGGAGCTCTTCTTCGACATTGACAGTGGGAGGAACGCGCCGCTGCACTCGCCCCCCTCTGAGCACTACACCATCATCTTCAACACCTTCGTCATGATGCAGCTCTTCAATGAGATCAATGCCCGCAAGATCCATGGCGAGCGCAACGTCTTTGACGGCATCTTCAGCAACCCCATCTTCTGCACCATCGTCCTGGGCACCTTTGGCATTCAGGTAGCTGGGGCAGGCAGGGCTTCCATTCCCAGCAGCAGCCCTGCCCCCTGAGTTTCCCATAAACTGTGTCCACACCACACCCGGACACTGCTGAGCCGGCCTGACTTAATCGTGGGCTCGCTAGGGGTTAGGGCCCTCACTGGCGCAGCCTCCCTTCGAGTCTGGGAGCAGCCCGCCCTGGATCTGCCCAACCTTGTCGTCGTCAGCTCCAGCTCCTCACTCCTGGAAGTCTAGAAGGCTCTTTTGGAGATGCCTGCTGTACCCAACTCTGGTCTGCTGAGCGCTTTGCCCAGCACGGGTAGTGGGTCCTAAGACACAGTGCCTTGAAAGAAATCTAAGTTCCACGGGGCAGGGGATGCTTAGCATCGTAAGATAGCCCATAACACAGGGCGCACAGCAGAAGGGACACCGTGCTTTCCCCGGGACACAGTGGGCTCGGGGGCAGCTACTGTGAGTGGTTCCTGCCCACCCGGCACAGGGAACTGTCCTTGGTGGCCCGGGTCCTGGCTCTAGGAGGTGGAGGTGGGCTCCAGATTCCATGGCTCCTGTGGGAAATGCTTGCCCAGTGAAGAAGAAGGAGCAGGGCCCAGGGCGAGGCGACTCTCGTGTTATGGGCAAGGTGACCCTCCTGTCGTGGGCACCTGTTATGGGCCATGTGACCCTCCTGTTATGAGTGAGGTGACCCTCCTGTTGGAGGATCTGGCACGTGCCTTCAGGGTGGGTGCTGAAGTGTCCCATCGGCAGAGGCTGGGAACACGGTTGGTGGCTGTGCCACACCCAGAGCCAGAGTCGCTGCTTACCTGGCACCTGCCCACAGGGGAGCTGGGCTGGCATGCCACGTACACGCTGGTCTGTCATAGCATCCCTAGCCCACTTCAGTGAGATGGGGGAGCCACCTTTAGGTGCTTGCTAAGGGAGACAAAAGGGAAGGGTGCGCAGGAAGAAGAACCCCACCCGCCCCCGGGGAGCAGCAGGCGAGGGCTGGGGGCACGCAGGGCTCCGGTGCTGTTCCCTAGGCAGGTCTGCAGCCACCACACCCACCTCCCACCCCCTGCAGATTGTCATCGTCCAGTTCGGCGGGAAGCCCTTCAGCTGCTCCCCGCTGTCCACGGAGCAGTGGCTCTGGTGCCTGTTCGTCGGCGTTGGGGAGCTGGTCTGGGGACAGGTGAGTGTTCCTGCTTGGCTTTCTCACCCTGCCCACTTCCAGTCGGCTCTGCTATGGCGCCAGTGACGGGCCAGATGCCAGGAGGCCTTGGTCCCCCTGCCCAGACTCCCTGCGCTAGAGCCCCTGAGCCCACACCTGTGGCATCCTGCGGCCTGGGGACGCCTGCAGCATACCAAGCTGGGGACAAGGCCACAAATGACGACTTCAGCACAGCACATGCAAAGGACAGAGCTGGGCTATCACAGCCCCAGGAAGCCACCCCCTTCTCATGATAGCAGCCCAAACTTGTCCTTGGCTTGGAAGTCGCCACCGATTTGAAATTCAGAATCTCCCTACTAACTAATCTTCTGGACCAAGCCAAGGTTTCAAGAAATTCAGGATTCTGACCCGATGGAAAGTGAAAGAACCCTGTGTCTAGACCTGTGCGCTGCTGTGAAGCCACCTGCAAGGACAGGGGGCATGATTGGATGAGGAAGCAGCGGCCTGGGTCACACGTGGCCTCTTGAGTGTCTCCGGGATCCGGGGACACTGGCACAGACACTGAAGCCCCACTCCCTTCTTCCCGAGTCCTGGTCCGCGCAGACTGCTATAGCACTGCACTATACCCTCAGCCCTTTTTTATCTTTTTATTTTGAGACAGGGTCTCATTAAGTCACTAAATTGCCCCAGCTGGGGGCAATTTAACTTGTGATCCTCCTGCCTCAGCCTCCCTCAATGCTGGGAATACAGGTGTGCGCCACTGCGCCTGGCTCCTCTTTCTTTTTTTTTCAGTGCTGGGGCTGGAACCCATGGCCTCGCACATGCTGGGCAAGCGCTCCATACCTGACCTGAGCCCCCAGCCACTTTTCATCTTATTTTGAGGCAGGGTCTGACTAAGTTGCCCAGGCTGGCCTCAAACATGGAATCATCCTGCCTCAGCCTCCCAAGTAGCTTTAGGGGTATGTCCACCCCTCTGTGGCCCTAAATCCTGCCCTTTGCCTCAGTGAGCCACATCCTCTCAGGCAGGATGGCCTCTCAGGCAGGGGTCCCTGAGATCCTTCCCAAGCTGCCTTGGCAGCTTCTGGAGGTCCCCTGGCTAGACGGGGCTCAACAACAGACATGAGGGCCGGTATGGGTCGCCAGGAGGTAGGCACTCTGGTCTCACCCTGCCCCCACAGAGCCTGCTCTCACGGTTACCTCTGCCTGCTGTCCCTCTGTGGGGACTCCCACAGGTCATCGCCACCATCCCCACCAGCCAGCTCAAATGCCTGAAGGAGGCAGGCCACGGACCGGGCAAGGATGAGATGACCGACGAGGAGCTGGCTGAGGGGGAGGAGGAGATCGACCACGCCGAGCGCGAGCTGCGCAGGGGCCAGATCCTCTGGTTCCGCGGCCTCAACCGGATCCAGACACAGGTACGCCGCCGCCCACTTCACTCCTCCGAAGACTCTGCCCGCATGGGGACAGAGAAGTAGCAGCGGCTCTGGCCTGCCCTCGGCCACCCTGGTATGCCCGCCACTGACCATGGCTCTGGATGGCATCCTCAGCACCTCCCTTGGCAGCCAGGTGCCCCCAGAGCGGGCGCAGGTGCCAGCAGACGCTGTGTGGGTGACAAGTGGCCATCTGTTCTGCTTGGTGGGTCCTGCCCTGGCTTGTGGGCACATGGCATTATGGAGAGGCTCCTTTTGGGAGGTGAACCCTGCCACTGGGTTGGTCCTTCCGTTTGCCCAGACGTCGGGGCTAGCCGAGACCAGCTAGAGCCCTCATAGTCACATGGCCACAACTCCAGCCCAGCAGCAGGTGCTTGGGAAAGCTTCACAACAGCCTTTGTGCCTGAGTTGCACTGCTCTCGGCCCCTGCCTCTTGATGGCTGACTTCCTTCCAGAATGTTCCACACTTTCCACCTCTTCACATGCTTCCCTCGAGCCTTCCGCCGTTGCGCTGTCCCGACTCCCCAGCCTGCAAGGCCTCCTTTCGCTCCATCCTCCCTGCTTCCCAGTCATCCTCTGGGGGTTCCACTGACCCTGTGGCCCTGGCAGCTTGCTTTCTTGTCTGTGTCTCCAGCACCCCTTGCCCTCACTGTGGCAACCTCACCCCCTGCCCAGCCCTTGCTCTGCCCTGCTGACATGAGCGGGCCTAGGAGTGAGGGAGGAGCCTGTGGCGGCCCACCAGGCTCCCTGGCCCCTGTCATACTGCAGCCCCACCCATCCTTGCAGCCTCCAGGTGGCCCTGGCCCTCTCCTCACCTAGTCTCCTGCAAGGCCCTGGCCACCTTCTCTTGGATGACAGTACCGCTGGCCCTGAACAAGGTCCTACCAGCTAAGTGGGGCCACACTCAGCTAGGTCCCCTTTGGGAGTCTGTCTAGACAACTTGCAGGGGCAGATCTGGGGCCACACCCCTCCCCAGTGTCTACATCCAGCCCGGCTGCCACATGCGGCCAAGGACTCATCCCCAAGCTGTCCTTGTGCCTGGGTTCAGTGTCTCCTTCCAGTGGTGTGATGGGGCCCATCCTCCCAGGGAACTCCAGCTTTCTGTGTCTTCCCTTGCCTTGCTCCTCTGTTTCCGCACTCTGCCTTGGACTGGCAAGACCATCCCCACTGTTCTGAGGGCGAAGTCCAGACTCCTGACTGTGGCCTGCAAGGCCTTGCCGTACCCTGCCACCCAGATTCCCACGCTGGCTGCTGTGCTTCTCTGCCTGCTTGCTGCTGGGGGCCTCTGTGAGCTGCAAAAGCCTGCAGCGCCAAGCCTGGTGAAGCCTTTCCACGCCTGCTCCCTCCTGCCACCCTGGGGCCCTGAGTTCCTGCGTGTCAAAGTGCTGCAGAGTCCCCAAGACCATCCCCAGAGAATGGACTCCTGCAGGGCCGGGGAGGTGGTGCCGAGGAAGTCTAGGGCCCAGAGGGCCTTGGCCAGCCAAAACCCAGGAGGGGGGACTGCTGTCGTGAGCACCTCTCCTAGCTAGGGCCCAGAGGGAGCCCAGGGGGTGAAGAAGACAAAGATGCTAATGCCTTAAGCAGCTCCCAAGGGACAGGCCAGGTGCGCCACAGGGGGTTTCTTCTTGTTCCTCAAAATAAAATAATAAATATTTAGGTGCTAAATTTAAATTTAATAATGTTAGAAAAGCTGGGCGTGGTGGCTCACGCCTGTAATCCCAGCACTCGGGAGGCTGAGGCAGGAGGATCCCTGCGAGTTCGAGGCCAGCCTAGGCTACAAAGAGAACTCTAGTCCAGCTCAAACTGCATAGCGACACCCTGTCCCAAAAAGACAAAAAAAAAAAGAATGTTAGAGAGAAAGCAGCCCCCGTGTCTACCCCTGCGCCCCTTTGGGCTAGGGGGGGCTCTTCTCTGGAGAACCCCAGTTCTGCCACAGAGTCCAGGGCTGGCCTGAGCCTGGGATGGGCACAGCAGGACCATGCTTCTGGTGGGCTTGTTTCGCTTTTGCCCACCCAGCACATGGCAGTGTTGGCCTCTACACCAGCTGGGACAGCATCCCTGCCCCCATCGGAGGCATCAGTGGTGGCCTGGCCATCCGCGTGTGTTGTGTCTACGTGTGCTTGGATGCTCCCTGCTGTTCTGTCAGTCCCCATAGAAATGCTTTAGCAGTGAGGGAACGGTGCCCCAAGGGAAGGGACGGCCCAAGGCCACCAGCGAGAGCCAAAGGCCCAAATCCCTCATGCCTGGCCCCTGAGCACCCTCCTCAGATTTCTGGATTTTATGAACCACACAATTGTTCCCCAGGTTTCAGAAGCCTCCACAAAGTTTTCTGTTGTTAAGCAACGTACTACCTGCTGTCACCACCGGTCCACAGTAACTCGCCAGGCGTCAGGGCACCAGGCGGTACTCGAGTCCTTCCTGTGCTCCGCGCTCGGCTTCCATTCCAGCACATATGCTGCCTAAGGAAGCATGGCGGAGCTCTCTAGCTCGTTCTCAGCCCAGGGCTCCAGCTTCCTGTTGGAGGGGAGGTGACAATGGCAGTATTTTCACTGATAGTTACCCAATGGGGATACCATGCAGAGCCAGGTGAAGCCAGTGCAAATCCAAGATAGGAAAGGCATGTGTCCTGTCGCCTGTCACTTTTGCAGCAGTAACAGTCCTCCCTTGAGAGAGACTCAGCTCCATTGCCTAGAAACCTTACACTCCAGACAGGAGACCCCCCCACACCAGGAACTTCAGTGCCGTCTCATCTGTCGCCTTCCCTCCTCGTGCTCAGTGCTATCTTCCCCCACCCCGCCCACATGTACAGTTACAGTGTGAGCTCACCTGCCCCTCGGCAGACGGACGGGGTTCTGGGCAGGTGGAGTAGGGTGATGAGACTTGTCCACGGTACGTCGGAGGTGGAAATGACATCCCATCTGCATTTTGGTTGTGGGGAGGTCTGAACACTCCAGCTGCCTTCTTCCGAGACCCATGCCAGATACCCGGGTGAGCCTGATGGCCGCCACTTAGCCACTGCAGGGCTTGGGGTGGGTGAGGCAGGCAGTGAGGGTGCTTTGGGCCCCAGAAGTACACGTTGGCTTCACTGCTTATGTCATCCAGAGAACTCCATGGTACTTTCTAGAAGCCAGAGCTACCCTTTCTAAGGCCGAAGCTTGTCCCCAACTTGAGAGCAAAGTGCCCTTCCCTGCCAAAGGCAGAGTCAGAAATGCAAAAACAAGCCAGGTGTGGTGGCGCACGCCTGTAATCCCAGCACTCAGGAGGCTGAGGCAGGAGGATCTTTGCGAATTTGAGACCAACCTGGGCTACAGAGTGAACTCAAGGCCAGCCTGAACTGCATAG